AAACACAAATTGTCTTTCAGATCAACACCGCACCGCACCGTCGTGAAAAACCGCACCGTGAACATCCCTGGTTTTTACGGTTGTGTTTACCCGCTCCAATGCAGCTTAGAGGCTTCACTTACCTTTCCGGAAACAATCGAGTACCAGGTTCACCGCATACGTACCAGCGTTGACCGATTTTGCCTTCCGCGCCATACCCACCCATCTGTTACCTGTACAACCTTATGCTCTGTTTCAGGCGCGAGCGAATTGATCGATCTTGTCATCCGCAACGCAATCCCCGGTCGATGGCGGCCCGGGCCTCAACGCACCCAGTACAAGGAGTATGCTCGCTCCGCTCTTGCTGCAGGTGGGTGTTTTCAGCCTCGGTAGTAGATAGCAGCGACAGGTTTGTTTCACCGACCCTCCGACGCAAAACATGGAGGGTTTACTTGGTTCGTCCAACCCTAGTTGTATACCATCAAATATATCGCCGCAGAGCGTGTTGAACCGTCAGCAGCTTGGATCCCAATGTGTGTCACCAAGAGGTACTTTTGCAATGGGCGGAGTGTGTGGGAACAACCCTGTTGCACGTGTCGGGTTTCGTTGGACCATTTTCTCTCATATTACGACGCTGACGCGCCTCGTCGACCTGCATCTTCAGGGTGGCCTCCGCTTTCCAGTTCTTGTCCGCAGCATTCCATCTGATTATTGAATCAGAGCCTATCCCATCCTTTTCTGATATCGCTGCTTTTTGTCGTCAACCTGCTGGTATAGACACCTTTGTCTTGGAGTACTTTTATGGGATTGAGTACAAGCATGACCGGTAGTTCTTGGTAAGATACATTGGTTCGGCGGGAAGTGCAACTCCCTGGGGTAGAATGTAGCCAGGGGGTGAGTCGTCATGGCCCCTCTCTGCAGAGGTGACGCAGTCTAGGAAAGATACCAAGGCAACAGCAAGCACTCCTGTACCAAGAAAACCAAGAAATCCATAAGCAAGTGAGTCTTATGCGTGTACACCACACCACATTTGGCGTCGTCGGCAGGACGATGCCTCTTGCACCGCATCTTCGATCGCGCTGTTTGGAACTCATCGCTACCCTGAGAATGCACCGCAACACTCTCCTGACGTCTCACATATATTGCCGACGTCGACATGCCCTTTGGACGCCGATTGATGCCCTCGTTGACGTAAGTACGTCCCATCCTGGCTCTCTCTTTTTGGCGATGTCTCCGTTTCGTTCCATAGGCTTCACCACGGCGGCCTCCACCGACCGGTCGGCCACTTTGATGTGCCTCGTCAACCCGACCAACCCCACGGGGGACTACTGGGGCGTCGAAGAAATGAAGGCGTTCATTGAGGGGGGATGTGACTCCGGAACCACGGTGATCGTCGGTGAGGAGAAAGGAGGGGCGGGAAGACCGTGGGGTAGTAGACACGAGGCCTATGGTATCAATGCTGAGCGTACGCGTCTGAGGCGAAGGCTCTGTTGGGAGTGAGGGGTCTGTGCTTCACACCGGTGATAGTACACATCCTCCGTTGGTTGGGGAGAAGAGGCTGGTTAAGTAGGATCAATGTTCGCTTTACCTGCATCACCTTACCTGCCCGTTGGGTGTGCCTAGGGCAGCCTTTTAATGATTTCCTTGTGTACCAATACTCGCCTGTACAAATGATATGAAGTATGACACATTTCTGCGCCATGGCTGTATCTGAGGGTTTCTTGGGATATTTCCATCTGACGATTTTGCCGAATTTTGCCGACAAATTTATCTGTGTAGAGAATGGCGTGTTAACAAGCACAGCTTTGCGACCCGGCCTGCTGCATTCTGCAACAAGACGAAGACAAGAAAACCCATGATGTCCGATTATTTTTATATCCTTGGCAGACGAGAGTATGCAACCGTGGCTAGGACCCAAATGGAGGGAAGATAGCCTCTACTCTCAAGCAGAGTGGCTTCGAAGCATGTCCGTTGATAAGGGGGTGCACGTGTGGGTCATGACCAGCTGGACCAAGGTGAGAAGTGTGTGCTGAGTTTTTCATAACATTGTTCCGCACGAATTTCGTGATTGTTTTTGAGTGACCTCTTGTTTAGGGCAGCTGGACGGGGTGATTTTTTTCATGCGGAGTATCATGCTCATGTGCCTCCTACCCAGGTTCTCGATACTGGGTGCTTGGCTGTAGTAGCGCGTTCTTAGACGTGAGAGCTTCCTTGCAGCGGATGCGCAACCATCGGGAACATGTTGAAGTTTCTGTGTTTAATGCGCTTTTGGCTTTTGCCCAATTCGGGGTTAAGCAGGGCACTCGCTTGTCTTGGATTCGTTGTCCCTTGAAGGCCTTGACGGATGACGACGAAGTTCCTCTGACCGGGTAGATGTCACAATCATGAAGCACGTTGTACTGGTCTTTTTCGTAGATATTTCATCGCCCGTGCCCTTTCTCGACGACAGCTTAAACTGATGGTGGGGTGTGGGCCCCGGAGAAATGCAGTAGGACTACAGCCATTGATAGTTCTGCCCGGCGCGGAGGGTCTTTTTGACAAGACTTTTCCAGGGCACGCACAAGAACTCTTAACGCTCGTTAAAGTCCTACGTGGCGACTGTCCTGTTTTTTTTTTTTTGACGCATACGTCTATGATGCTTAGACCTTCCAAATGAGCAAGATATCACGGATCTACTCCTTGCCTTCAGTTCCGGGGCGTTCCTTCTCAAACACTGCCTGTTAATGGTACCGGACGTGGTAGTCACGTTGGAATAGACAAGGTACAGCACGGAGGCACAAGATTTCAACGGCGGTAGCCATCACCCGAATACACAACAGGGGGCTCAAGCCTCAGGCTGAAGGGTGCGTCTCCCACCAAAAGCATGCTGGACCGCTAGACGAAGCACAGGAGCTAACGCGGGAGGAAATCAATATGTTCATGTGGCGAGAGATCCCACGTCCATTGAAACGCGAAGAGGCCATTCTCGTCAGTGCTATACCTTGTCTTCTCCATAGTGGTTAACCAAGTCCGGTACTCTGAACCTGAGCCATTAGCGTGCGAGAAGGAAGACCTCGGAGTGTGAGAAAAGGAGTTGAACCGTGGTGTCTAGCCCATTAGGAGAGTCTCAGCGTCATCTGTGTAAGCTAGAGGACCCAGGAGGGTCCCACGCAAGACTTCAAGGAGTGTTAGAGTTCTTGGCAACACCGTGGAAAAGTCCTGCTACAGTATTTGAGTATTGTTTGAAGCACTTGTCTAGTTTGGCGATAACGCAGGACATCTCTCTGCCGAGCGATTGATTCATCGGCTCGACGTGCTTCATCGGCTCGACGTGCTTCGGATGCACTGTGCATCGTAGTGCTTGCAACGTTTCGCAGTATCTCTTCCGATGAGTACTGCTGTTAGCCTCCAAGCACACGCGTACTGCTGTATGTACTGTAGGCGGGTCTCACTCGCCACAACTTCGAGTGTATGTCTTTCCCTAAGGTCCAAGTCGAAGATCGTTCTTGATGAGCTTGTTATACGTAATCCGACATGCTTCGGAACATTCCACCGCTGTCGCGGAACAACGCACCCCCCTGACTTGCTGTGTCTGATGCCTCCTATTTATTTCTATCTCGCCACCGTTTGCTCTGTGTTTTTGGTGGCTCGCGTCCGCTTTTCGTGTCTAATGTCGGTGCTACTCGTTGCGTGGGGGAAGATTTGGTCCTGCTGCGGCGTGAGACTGGGTTCAGTCGTGGCGCCGACGACCGACCTGCAGAAGGCGGTGAAGGCCAAGCAGGTAAGGGATGAACCAGGCGTTGGGATAGCGTGCTTCATGTGCCGTTTCGTGGAGTACTGTAGGCCGGCGCTTGTGATGCTGTCCGCTTTCGTGATGCTTCATGTCTCCGTGCTGTGTTGGGTGCTTGTTGGAGGGGAGTCGCTAGGCGCTTCATCGCTTGTCAAAACGATGAGTTTTGCACATTGCTTAAGGGTTAGCGGTTGCGAGATGGACTGGGCGGGACATATGGATGGTGTGCTTGTTGAAGTCAGGAGAAGGGTTCAGTGGTCACTTCCCCCTTTTCGCGCATGCTCACGGATCTATTCCTTTCCATCGCAGAATTCCATGGTGCTGTTTTGACTCCCGAGAGAGAACTTCGAACCCAAAACATGCCGCTAGTGATGTACAGTAGGTTTCCGAGGTTGCCACAGTTATACCGTATATGACACAAGATAACACACCCCCTGGACCGATTTTCAAAGCTCGATTACTCCACGACGAAGAGGATGCATAAATGAAACAATACGTTTTCGAACAGCTCTCGACAAAACGGTTCCAACGCCGCCGTTTTCGGCGCTGTGACTCTTCCTGCTGTTGAGAAATCGAGCTTTGAAAATCGGCCAAGGGGGTGTGTTATCTTGTGTCATATACGGTAGGCCACCGCGGCGCTCGACTCGATACTGACGATGATTTTTGAGTATTGATGTAGACCCTGAAGTACGGTACCATTACCACGGGCGACGTACGGTACCATTAAACGCGTGCCTGCGACGCGCTTCAGCACGATTGCGCAGATGGAGAAAGGTTCTCCGCATCATCGGCCCCCTCACAAACTCGCGCCTCAAACAACCGCCTCATTTCCAGGTGCCGTGGAGCGTGAACAGCATTGCTCTGCATTTCCTGTCGGAGGCCATCAGGGACACCGGCTACCTCAAGTAAGAAACGTATCACGGCTTGTTTCGTCGCTGTCGCCTGTGGACTGTTTGCGTCTTCTCACACTCTCTCCAAAACGATGACACTGAGCCGACTTTGGGTATGCTCTGTCAAGGACTTTGCCATCATCACCCGCAGAAGAGATGAACTCGATCGCGCCGCTACCCACATGCGTCTCGCATCGAAGAGAGTTTTTCACTGACGTTGGCGTGACAGCAGCGTGACTTGTCTGCAATTCCTTAGGGAGACAAGCTTCTTGGACCGTCGTGGCATGTAATAATTCCTTTTTGGCTTCCAACACGTTTATTTCGTGTCTTGAACTAAGTGTGCATTCAGCAGGCATTCTAGCCCAGATTGAAGCCGACCGGTCCACGTTCTGAGCACGAAGCCGAAAAATTGTGACATCAAAAACATTGGGCGCGAGTAACCTACATCCACCCCTGGATACATGCCATTTGTACTCAAGAACAATGCAGAGCTCATTTGTTGGGCTCTGACATGTTTTCGAGCCAAAAATGGAAGACGTGGTCCTCAGAGGAATTCTTGCCTCCGGCCTCGGATGGAACCTCATCAGTAGAGTAGGCAAGACCGTACAGTACGTTGATACGCTTGTGCGATAATAATTTTGGGGTCAGAACTTAGGTGGTGTTTGGGCTTATGCTATGGACCTTTTGTGGATCTTTTTAGGCGAGCTGTATATCGGTGTATGCGGCTGTCGGTTTGTGCTGACTTGAGGGAAGGAATGCAGAATCTGGTTTGTGGTGTGTTTCTCGGGGAACGTGTCGGTATGGCTGCTTCCCTTTCGCCACACTTGCACATGCGCCTCATTGTGATCGGTGTGTTGCCCCACATCCCTATCTATCCCCTACCGGTCGTGGTCCGGCCGTAATAGATTGCCCGGGCTGTGTTTGTCGCCGCTGGCATTGCTCAAGCTATCCCCGCCTGACTCGGTGTGCATGCATGCAACGGTTAACATGTGGCCACAGGAGGACGTGGGACTTGACGCAGGTATGGAATCGCGACACACGCAAGGAGATCCTGGAGCAGCACCCAGACTGGGAGGTGCATGGGAAGGTGAGTCCATGACTCTCAAGAGAGACCTCGAAACTGTTACTGATATCTTTTCTGTCAAGTTACAGCTCCACGCCGCCTCGGCGCAACTGAGGGAAACGATTCGTAAGTCGATAGGAAGACAACCAGATACCCGGTTGTGCCCGGTTGTGGACGGGCAGTTCAGAAGGGATATGTTCCACATCGCAGTACGACATACAATAGGGATTTGTGTGGATTGTGGAACGTAGCGAAAGTTCGAATAATGGCTTGGTTACCCATTCGCAGACATCGCCTTTGCTGGGAGACAAACGCTAGCCTAGAACGGCTGAGGAGCCTAGCAAAATGTAGCGTCTACGGCGCTGAGTTTGTATTTAGAGCACTCAAGCGGCGTAGTTTAAATTTGCTCGCGTGAACTTAAGGACTGTTTTGTACTTTTCTGGGACGCGTCCTGAGAGACGAAACGCAAATAAGTGCCGAGTACTCCTCCTTCTCACGACATACGAGCTACCGGCGGCATCTGATAAAGCCGAAATGTACGCTGAACTTTGTTGTAAAGTCGCCCGGAGCCGCCGAAGTTGCACGTATACTTGGTACGAACGTGTATACGTGAACGCTCTCCCTTCAAGGGAACACCTCGTCAACGATGAAATCTGTTGAGCCGATGCTACGATGGGTACCCTCCTGAAATAGTGCGGCGTGCATAACGACGTCCTGGACATAAACCCTCATCCCGCTCTTCGCCTGCCTCCCGGTCTGCTGTTTTGCCAGGACTTCCTCTCCTGGCTATGGATAAACACTCACGACGAGGCGGTGACTGCGGACGTCGTTCGCCTCGCTCGCGCTGCGGGCGTTCCTGTGCGCTCGGGGGCACCAGGCTACAACCTCCCGACCTTTTTCAGGATCGCTGTCCGTAAGGAAGCACAGAGGGCGGCACTGTGGAAAGCGCTTCTTCCGCTGGCCCCGTCCTCCTAACTGGAGGTTAGGTCGCTTGATGTTGGCTCTGGATAGGTGTCAAGGGTAGTTAGGGTTGAGAGTTGAATTAATCAGTCCATGGTTGGTCACATACATGCGACTGAGTGGTGCAGTTGGTATTCTTGCACCCTTGTGACGTTTGGAACGCGGGTTCGAATGTCGGGGAAGTCACACACACTGGGGGTTTGCACTAAACATGGATTGAATATTTTTGGGGGACTCAGCACTGTGGACATCGTAACGGTCGACGAGGGTGAGGAACAGCCGCATACTTGTCGCGATACAAATTAGGCCAATCACCGAAGACAGACGGCTAACAAAACAAACTCATGTGGCTTTTCTGTGTGACCCCGCGTGATTTGTCCGGAAAATATTCCGACAGAACGACCAACGTCCAGAATATATAGGACGGCGCAAACACAACACACACACGAGTCGAGTGCAAGGTAGCAGCCTTCGTAGACGTGTGCAGTTTCTTCTGTTGCTACCGTTTCTGTCTTTGATCCGGAGAATAGGTTAGACTCCCCCATGCCGTCCCCTCACGGGGTCCCAGTTAATGGCATGTAGAAGTGTTTTGTGTTTTCAGCCGCACTGAGATTGGCGTCTTTTCATTGGCCAGCCGTTAGCGCGGTCGATGCTAACAATAATACACACACACACGATGCCGAATGTGGGTAGCGGCGTGAGGGGTAGCGGTTTGCTTTTGAAACGAGCCAGTAGGTTCGTCGTGCTGGCAGCCATATGGGTCGAACCGCGGCTCTGTTTGGTAGTAAAGCACCGCGCGTGTGACCTACATTCCGTCGTTGCGGTTGTGCGCTCTATGAGGTTTATTTCCAGAAGGGAGAGGGGGTGGGGAAGGGTATTGGGTGGTGCTTGTGCTAGCAAGGCCATGCGGGATTTGGTAGAAGAAAAACCCAGTCGTGAGGAAGTATTTCCATGCTGCAATGGAGCATGCTGTCGAACCCAATACAACGGAAGAGAAAAGAGGGAGAGACCAATTTGTTTGTACCCTTCGGAGAAGAAGCCGTAATCCCAGTTTTTTTTGTGAGGACTTTGGCGTGTGCCGGTGATTTTTGGGGGCCTGCAGATAGATAAAGTTCGCCTGGGAATAGGTCAACCGGCGTTTTTTATCTCTCCTTCAGTTTTAGGCGTGCTGAAGCTATCGAGTGTAAAATATCACATCAAAACCGCTTAGGTTGGTAGATAACTTGGAGGGGGTAGCAAGTTGCCGCTACCCGGCTTCAGGTCCAGCGCTGTCGCACATCCCACTTTGTTCGGACACAGCAAGTCTCCATCTTTTGTCTTTTCTACCCACGCCAGCCGGAGTCGCAAAATACGAGGACGGCCGCCTAGGTTTTGTTTATTTTCCCACTTTCCTCCTGCGGTACTTCGCCAAACGTTGGCCACAAAAAAGATCTCGCAGAACCTTCCCGTTGACCATGGCATCCAAATTGTGTACAAACGAGTTACTCGTTTTCCACGTGTGAGCGTCGAGTGAGATGTCGATCCAATGCCGCGTGATTTCGAGTGGCGTAAGAGGTGATACCTCCTTTGGGCTAGGTCGAGCTTGGTCTAGCCCGAAAACGGCGTGAATTACGCAGTGCGGGGCAGATACAAGTGTCCTTAGGTTGGTGTGGTTGGGTTGGGGTTCCTATTAGAAACCATCGATAACTAAATGGAATTATTTTACTACGTTTTTTTTGGGAGGACAAGATTGGGTTTTTGAAGGACAAGTGCACAGCAAAACTATCTGCAGCTGATGACGAGGCGTTTGATGATGCCACAACCTGACCCAGCTGAGAGTATTTTTTCCGAAATTTTGTTGACGAGACAAAACGAGCGATCGAGACACAGGAATTCGGCGAGCCGGTGAAGATGACAGAAACAACGCGCATGGTAGCACATGCTCGCACATTTCTGGGGTGTGCAGCATACTTGCACATCGGTGCCGCGTATGCGCTTTCGCCGTATGATGACGTACTTGCAATACGACCAAGATGTGTAGGTCGGTCGCGTCGGTAACTACCTCAGCCCACAAAAAATCACTTACCACACAACCACCGAAATGAACAAGCGTTAGACATACCCTTGACTCAGCGGGGATTGAGCGTAGATACACACCGTACCGTCACAGTAGCGCGCGCGAGAACACACGAACCGAACGCGCGTGAGGTCACAAACAGAAGGCGCAGGAGGTAGGGAACAACACAAAGCAGTGATAGAGGCCTACTGCTCAAATCAGACCACCCTCGCCCACGAGCAATCGATACACACCGGATAAAAACATGTTACACACAGCTCCCAACAACCCTAAGGCGCCCGAAATATAAAGTTCAGACTATATATGCAGCGCAAGATACATAATACTGTATATATGTATGCGAGCGAGACCCCCGTTCCTCTTGAGATGCTGGCGAGCTTCTGGCTGCTGCAGCGCGATGCTGTGTGTGTACGTGCACGATTGCGGCGCCGTGAACAAAAGCACCCGCCGCCCGTGAACTTTTGGAAAATTTAAACTGCGCACGGGGCCCTGAGCTGTTTATTGTTGCACACGTCACGCGGGAAAAACTCTACTTGTAATGACGGGCAGAACCAAGAGAGACGGCTTTGCCTGCTACTGCGTGCGGAAGGTGATGAAACGTGGCGAGTGGCCATTGTTTGCGACGCCCCGCCGAGGCGTACTCGAGATGCCCCGAGACATGCGCCATAGGTCTAGATCGACTTTAGGGACCCGGTCGGGCAACGGCGGGGATATCCGAGTGGCATGGAAACACGCGCACGGCGACAAAAAAAACTTCCGCCGATGCCAACCCCAACTTAGCCGATTCAATACTTTAACCAGTATGTTTGCTTTATTAAGGAAACCTGCCAAGACTGCTGAGATGAATCTGAAGCTTACGTAGATTTTGAATTTTTTATCCTCACGAGAAGGTGAAACCTCTAAAAGTAGCTTTGGTATTTCCATGTCCAGCCAAGGGACCTAAGTGAAAAAGATTCCGAACACATACAGCTCCCCCCCCCCCGGGAGGCTAATTCTTCGAATTTGGTTTCATATAGGAATGGGTATGGGGGTTTCCTTCACGAATGTAAGTCGTTGCCCCCCTACTGCAGCGAGGTTCCTATTGACGGCGCCCCTTACGCAATCATCTACTTTGTAGAAATTAGAGCCCCCACTCCCCGATATTTGGGGTTGGGTTTTCGTCGCTTGGCAGCGATGTCGTAGAACAAACCGATCACTTCGTGAACTCGGCAACCAGGTTACCGCTTTTTTTTGTTACCTTTGTTTTGTTTTAGGATTGCGGTAACCATAATGGTGGTCGAGTAGGTCATGTTGTGCGGAGTCGAGAACCCTCACTCCGCGCGAGGGGGATGATCGCACCACGTTGTGTTAAAATGGTCAAGCATCCTCGAGGCAGTTACACAGTGCTTATAACTGTCTCAGGAAGTGAAAGCACCAGAAAGTAAATTAAGTCATACGCAGCTGTCATCCGTACGCAAGGAAGTAAGCACAAAATGCCGAACACCCTTAGCAGGATGCAGCGCACCCTTCATGCGACTTACCGAATACCTCACGGCGCTTCGCGCTCGGTGATGTGATGTCATAGCCTGGCCCGGTGAGAACCCGGCGTGCTCCGTCCCGGCTTTGTAGGGATGCGAGGTCAACGGTCTAACGACTACGGCATGCACGACTATGAGTACCTCCCCCCCCCCCCTCTCCACTGACCGAATCAACAGCAATGACACAGCCCCATCGGTAGAGAGCGATTGATGGACGCCACATCCGCAAGTTCCAGCAGGAGGCATGATCTAGAGAGCGGGAAAATTGACATTTTTTTCATCGATACCATATGTCAATGTGTTTGGATGATGCTGCGTCTCCTTACAGGTCTGGTCTTTGCGGGTCCGAACATGCGGTGTGTGCATGAGCTGGCCAACATTTGCACCCGGCCACACGGCAACCACATATCAACGGCAGGGATGCAGCACAGTGCTTCGAGGGTTGCTCTCGCAAATAATCATGTGGTTCGAAAGGACAGAGAGACTGGTCACCGGCAATCCAACCACTACATATATTAATGTTTCTAAACACGCCAGTGGAAACTCTTTGCACGGTGTGGTATGAAACACTTCTTTCAAGATGGCACGAGCGTAAAGCAAGCGTGAAAAACCACGCAAAATAGCGGAGTTCATCACCTCTTGGTCTCTCACCACACACACTGAACATCCACCGTGCAACGGTCATTGGTTCTTCACCCGTATGTATGCAAGAGGGAAGACGAGTGTTGCACTCCTCTTGTCTTGATAATCGAAGCCAAAGCACCGCAGGAGGGGCGGGTAGAGGGCCTCGAAATGACACAAATGCCGTGAGCGATGAGTTGAGTGAAGCAAAAAAAAATCGGCAATGCTATTTGCTCCACCGGTGGGGTAAGTTCTCATTTGCTCCACCAGGCAGATCTCCACCCACAGAGCTCAAATCGACCCCAAACCAATTGCATCGTGTAGGTATGGACTACAGCTATCTGCAATGCTACTCCCAAGCTAAATCCGACCGGTGGCTGCAGGGATATGCTGAAAAAGGGGGTTCCGCAGCATGTCAGGAAGCAGTAATCGTCTCAAACCTCCGTCCACACCGCTCCAATTGACCTCAAATCTTTTTCATCGTGTCTGCACGGTCCATGCCGTTCTGCTAATCTGTCAGACACTCACATCCAATATCTTCCCGCAGAGATATGGTCAGCCGAGGGGGTTCCGCAGTAGGGGGGGTAACTGGCAATAGTCCCGCTATACCTCCCGTCACATAGCTTAACCACGCCTAACTCGGCCCGCATCGTGTTGGCACGGCTCACAGCTATCATTCAACCCATCCTCCACCCCAATCGAACCAGTGGGTGCAGAGAAACGCCCACCCACGCGGGGGCTCAGTGGCTCAAGGGCCGGTGGAGCAGATAAGCTTAAATGCTCCACCAGGCCAACTCTTCGTTAAGGGTACTGTTTGTCCTACTACGGCTTGTATTATGTTGGCCCGGTTCACAGCTATCATTGAAGCCATCGGACACCACGATCGGACCAGTGGGTGCAGAGAAACGCCCACCCACGGGGGCTCAGGGACTCGAGGGCCGGTGGAGCAGTTAAGGCTTAACTGCTCCACCAGGCCAAACTCTATCTACCGGGCGCTGTTTGTCTTA